CTCTGATTTCAGAATAAAAAGCATTTCTCCCTCTTTAGGAACGTAAAGCATCAGCAAACACATGAGGAGACTTCAGGGAGGAAGCAGACAGAGGGAACGGGCTGAGGTGACAGAGGAAACCAACACCACGTAGGCCCGGTGGGAACTGGACAGTAAACACGCATGGTCCTTCCGTGCACGTGACGTGAGGGCGGGTGGGAAGGGCTGTCCTGGGTTCTACGGCCTTCGCCTCCCTGGAGATGCTGGCTGAGAACTGGGGCCCCACTCAGGACCTCAAGCCCTATGTCCTGCCCACAGCAACCTCCCTGCACCACCTGCTCTCTTCCCACCACACCCCGTCCAGTGCACGGAATCCTTGCTCTCCCTTATTTCTGTACCAAGATCCCCAGGCGCCCCCAAATGCCCGGCAATGCACGCCTGCCTTACCTGAACGCCTGCCTTACCTTTCCTCCCCAAGTCACAAAGGAGCATCTCCCTGAAATGCACGCCAAGCATCACAGTCCCGAGCACCCTGGTCTCCAAGCACCTGGCCCTGGGACTAGACTCAGCTTGTCTAGAAAAGCTTAGCAACATGGTCACAGGGCATCCTTGGAGGTTATGCAGAGGCACCAACAATGGACATAAAAATCTCCGGGCCCTCACTCGGTGCCTCAGCCACCCAGGAAGCACGCGGTCTTGGCTGTGGAGCACAGGAGGTGGGAGCTTACTGGACAGGCGGTGGTCATTAAGGTTTTAGGGCTATTCCCGTATCCCCTTGTTTTAAAACGCGTCTCAGGGTGCCATCAAAACCTTCAGTTTCTTGTGGCTCGTAGCTTGACTCCATCTCACCGTAAAATCAAGTCTTTTGGTGTCTGAGCGACTCTTGCCACCACTAACCCTGCAAAAGCTGGAGGAGGGGAGGTGCCCAGGCTGGTACAGAACCTCCCCATGGAGACAGCAGACACAGCACCTCACACAGGACTCACGGTGTTGGGTGTTTGGGTTGTAAAAGGGGAATAATTCGGGAGGCTAAATTGTTTTATGGAATGATGTCGAATGTAGGCCCCGGAGCTCTATTTAAATATGCCATCAAAGCCAAAAATTGTGCCTCTCAGACTTAAACAGGAGTCTGTGTATCCCACATAGGAGTCATGAACCACAAACACAAAGAGAGGTTTTCCATTCACTTGAGGAGATAAACAGTTAGGTTTCCAAAAGCACAGGGTCTGATCATGCGTTTCTACTTTATCTTCTTTTCCCAGACGGTCGTACAAAAAATTCATGTTATTATGTGAGAATCCAATGCAAGAATCAGTGCCAGTGAAACATCTGGTGAAGGGAAACTGGGGCAGATGTTGTTCCCCCTATGTTTCAGAGATAGATAATAATTCAATCAACATGAATAATAAATTAGATGGTCATCAATAGGCATTCGCCCTCCGCAGGCTTCACAGAACTGTAGGAAGTGCCCATGGTCAGGGCAGACCTTACAGATCATCTGTCTGAATCCCTCCTTCCACAGAGCAGAATCCCAAGGGTGGGGCATATCCTGTCACCCAGCGGGGGGGGGGGGCGGGGGACCCCCCAGGGGCAAAGCACAGGGTCTGATCATGCGTTTCTACTTTATCTTCTTTTCCCAGACGGTCGTACAAAAAATTCATGTTATTATGTGAGAATCCAATGCAAGAATCAGTGCCAGTGAAACATCTGGTGAAGGGAAACTGGGGCAGATGTTGTTCCCCCTATGTTTCAGAGATAGATAATAATTCAATCAACATGAATAATAAATTAGATGGTCATCAATAGGCATTCGCCCTCCGCAGGCTTCACAGAACTGTAGGAAGTGCCCATGGTCAGGGCAGACCTTACAGATCATCTGTCTGAATCCCTCCTTCCACAGAGCAGAATCCCAAGGGTGGGGCATATCCTGTCACCCAGCGGGGGGGGGGGGCAGGGTACCCCTCAGGGACGGTTCTTCGGCAAAGCCAAGAAGAAGAAAGCCAAAGCGGTGCTTTGTATCTTGCAGAAGGCTGGACCGGGTGGGCCTTTGGGGACATGAAAGTCAACTTCTCCCCAGCCACCAGGAGGTGAGGGGTCTGCGTCAGAGCCACACAGCCTCTGCTGTGTCATCACGCCTCCTGCCCAACAGCTGGCTTTACGTCTACTCAACTGTTATCATCCAGAAGCATTCCACAGGGTTTTATTATTATTCGTTTAAACACAACTAGTTCAGGGTTCAGTGAATCCGTGGCCCTTGTGTAGAGCTCTCTGAGGGTGTGGAACCCAGGTTTGCCCATGGACTTCCACTCAACTGCCCCAACGTTTAGACTACTGACACCCAAACACAAAATGGTCTCTCCAAGGTTATGTTTAAAAACCCAAATACGTTATGTTAAAGATACACTTCATCCTTATAGGGTCCCATTGCTTGTTCTCACGCATTATAAAACACAGATTTCAAATCAGACCCTTTCCGTTCCCTTCGTTCTCCTCAACTAGGTGTAGGCCAAAGAATCGTGAGCCAGGACTGCAAAGGTCTTCATATGTAATTCAGTCCAACCACGTCTCTGATGCTAGAGTCATGAATTATCACCTCCTGGCCATCTGGCTGATGACAGAATCCTTGCGGTGATGGGAATCCCACTTTGCTCTGAAACTTCACTGTTTGACAGTTACTCCTTTTGCTGAATTTAACTCTGCCTTCCTGCAGCTCCCTGACTAGTGAAGTCTTTCGTGATGCCCCAATTCCTGGGAATATAAAAGATCCCCTCCACCATCTTTTGTGATAAGAATGAAAAAGTGAGATCAACTGTGTATGACAGTCAAATATATAGAAACACATTTAAAGTGTTTGCATCTATTTACACATCATATGAAAATAGCTGACAAGACTTTCCCCAAACTTGGAAGGTGTGTGTGGACTGATGTGCCTTCACACACAGGCTGTGTTAAGCCCCACGGGGCAGCATGACAAGAGGGTTTCGGACAGAAAGTCAGACGTACCACAGAGCACCTCAGCTCAGGGACAAGAGGCCTGAGTCACCGAGAACCACAGGCCTTGCACTTTAGATCCTGTACACAGAAAAGCAGACGGGGATTTCAAACATGAATGCAGATTACAAATCACTGATTTGTAATCAAGTTCTTTTGAAAGTGCTTTGTGCAAGGGCAGCTCTGGCAGCATACTCCACAACCAGGGTTTCCTTTTTAAGGATGTTTAATGATTTTCCCTGGGGGTCAGTTAGGCAAGTAATAGTTGTGGAAATGTTTCATAAACTCTAAAGCACTATAAAATGGGATGCTACACCCTCATGATACTTTAAACGCTTACTGAGTGCTTACCTTGTGTTTATACTTGCTAGCTCCCTAGTGCATTAGGCACTTTTAATACCTCATATAAATGAGTAAAATCCTGACATCGGTGAACGAAAACCTGTCACTTGCCATCCGCCTCTACAAGGATGAGGTCAATAGCCAAGGCAGCCGCTGACCTTCAACTCACCCTGAAAGGAGTTCAGGGTGGAGATCAGGAACGAGGCCCTCTGTGCTCTGGGAAACACTGGCAGAACAGGCCTTCAGATAGAGATTTTCAGGAGATTTTATGAGCCCAATTTCTTGCATCTCCTCATATCTAGAAAAGCACTAAAATCATGAATGGTGACAACTGTTCCTCGTGACTGGCAGCCACCTTCTGCCAGAACGTGTGCTTCACTGCATGCACCCCCTTCACCAAAGTCACACATATGGTGACCCTCACCCCACCTCTTAGGATCAGTTCCTCAGAGCTGTCTGAGATGCTGTCCTGGGCTCTCGTCCTCATTTTGTCCCCAAATAAAATTTAACTCACTACTCTCACATTGTGCTTTTTTTTTTTTTTTTCAGTCGACAGACCAAAAGATTGATCTTGCAAAAGATTTCTTTACCTAGCTCTAGGTATATGAAAAATGATAATATACCAAAATTGCATTAATTTACAGTTCACATGTAAAGGGGAAAAAAACCATAAGACAGGAAAGCGTCCAGAGAGAACAGGTATAAATAGCAGAGGGAGGGTTTCTGGTATTACTAAAGAGGGTTTGTCTTGCCTACAGGTTGATGAGACGGTCGTTACAGAACCCAAGTAGGGAGCGGGATAAGGTGGACAAGCCATGTGTCTGGGAAGTATCTCCTTTCCGGAAACAGGAGGAAGAGCTGGATGCCCTCGAAGGCAGTTCCTCTTCCAAATTATTAGTTGATTTCTGAATCAGTAACAATGGAAAAACTGGTAAGAAGAGTCTTCCAAGAAACTCCAAGATGAGGCTGCTTTCTTCTAAAATTGACACAAACACAATTAATACTAGGTTGTTCTGTGCCCATGAAGAAAGGTGAGGCATTCACCCTCCTAGTTTCCAGGTGCTCTGACCACCTCTACAATATGACCTAGTGGTTAAGGACATGGATGCTGGAATCAGACTTCTGGGTTCAAATCCCAGCTCTGTCACTTGCTAACAGAGCCCCCTTAGGTGATTTACTTAATTAATCTGAGCCTCCATTCCCTCACCCCACAAAAGGGGTCACTGCAAGTGTAAAGCTCCCAGAACAGAGCTGAGCGGACCTAAGTGTTACACGTGCATGTTTGTGACTACTGTCCTGTCCGGGGCCTGATGACAGGGCCCGGTCTCTAGACGTGCCTGGGAGAAGGCATAAAACGAAAACTGCCTATCACATTCTATTTGGGTTTCAATGTTTCATGTTTATATTTTGTTTTCTTTTTCTTTTTTATTGAGAGCAAGAAGATCCACCTTCTTCTGCCAAGAAACAATGAGCCTGTCCACTCAGTGACTGCGGTTTCCATGAGGAAGTGAGTGCAAGCAGATATTTCTGAAAAATACAAAAAGCCAAGCCTTGCCTTCAGTCGCTCGTACAGAGCTGCCTACGCGCCATCCCCAAAGCCACCGCCAGCCTCTGCAGCCGGGCTCTGCCTGGGCCCAGACCCGGGTGCCCCTCCGACCACTTTCCACCCCCTTCGCAAGCGGGCCAACCTTCGATGAAGTCCGAGGCCGTGTAAGGACGCTGGTCGGGGCTGCTTTCGGCCGGGCTGTTCAGGGCCTCCACGGCCAGCTGGATGACCTCCACCAGCTCATCCCGCTTGTCCTTGCGCACAGGCTTCTCCTCGGGGTGGCGAGTCAGGCCCGTCTCCAGCTGGTACACTTTGTGCAGGGTGAAGCTGTCAAAGGGCACAGCGGCATACTCGGTGGCCTGCTTGACGCCGGTGTGCACCTCCGCCCTGTCTACCTGGGAACGCAGGAAGGCCAGCAGGTCGGCCTGGGCCCTCCCGGGGGGGCCCGCGGGGTCCCCGGCCAGACGCTGTGCAGTCCTGAGCTGCTCGCTCCTCTCCCGCAGCTCCTCCTGGAGCTGTGTGATCTGCCTCTGGAGGCTGCTGATGTAGTCGCGGTGACGTTCTTCCCACTCCTGCATCGCCGCCTGGTACCCATCCTTCCCCGTGGGGCCATTGGCCCGGGGCAGCCCCAGCTGCTCGTCATCGCCCCTTGGCGTGCAGGCCAGCATGTAGAGGACAGAGACGACGCAGCAGAGGAGCACAAGCAAGACCACCACCCGGGAGACCCAGGCGAGCAGCCCCCGGCGCACCATCCTCGCTCAGGGATCAGCCACGCTTCCAGCAGCCGCAGCGTTCATCCCAGACCACCCGGCCCGCGAGGGGCGTCCCTGGACTAGACCACAGGGAGCACACGTCCAGGGGTCCCCGAGCTCCTCTCATCCATTTCGGTCTACACTGCGTCTTGTTCCTGGGAGTCCACCACCAAGGGCAGCAGGTTCCTGACTTCTAAAGGATGAACTTCCAGGCAGAGGCAACGGGTCAGGGGAACCGTCCAAGTTGTCACGCTCATTCCCATCATAGCCTTCCAGAGGGAACCTGGGGAGACCAATGACAATAACACTTACTCAGGACAATAACCCCCTTGTGTTCACCATGGCGATCAATAATCAATATTCAATGGAGTTTATGGAAAATGCTTACAACAGGTGATTAAATATTGTTCAGTGTTTCTAAATCAAAATGCAAATATGCATCTGCAAAGTAGCGTACACAAAGAACAAAGGATGCGGAACAAAGATTGGAAGAAAACATGGCAAAATGTGAATTCTCTCTGGATGGAAGGATTAATGGTGATTTTTCTGCTTCTCTGTAATTTTCTCTATCTTGTAAATTGTCCACAATGGCACATATTATTTTCATGGTTAAAAGGAAAAAGCAAAACTTGAATGACAACGAAATTGCAGAACAGGGCCTTCCCAGCACCGGTGGATGCAAACAGTGAGCATCCCGGGCTCCTGAGGGCACCCAGCCAGGGTAGGCCTGCAAGCTGGCTCAGGGTGGTCCTCATACTTTCTGATGAGGAAGTGAACAAGCACCTGGAGGCCCAAATATGCAAATGCTAAGTGCAGATGATAACATTGAGAATGCATCCGTACAGTTCTTCCAGGACAGGGGATGATGAGTTTACCACAGAAAGGGATGGAGCTGGGAGGAGTAGACCAGAAACACTGCTTTGTCAGGACTCAAACCCAGGATGCCTCTGCTCAACCTCTGGGAGCAATTCTGTGTGCTGGCGGCTCATCAGAAACACTCAGCCAGACCACGGGGCCTTTCATCCAACGCCACCGCCCCCCCAAACAAATGAAGAGCCACCTGGCTCTCACCTGCTGTCCCCTTCCCCCGGGAAGCCCCTCCCTCCCCCACCCGGCACTCCGTCCTCAGTGCCCTCCCTTCCTTAAACCCCTTTCCTCAGCTCCCCTGTCCATCTGAGCCAAAAAAAAAGAATAATAAATGGATCAAATGAGATTTCTTGTTGTAGGGAGATTTTAATAAAATTTTCCTAGATGCATCTTTTTATATCACTTCTCTGAAACAACCTCCCTGAGGGTACTGTGTCCTGGCCATTTTATAAAAATTCAACATTAAAAAAATCCCCATGAAAACTAAATTACCTTTCTTTTAAGGTTTTTTGTTTGTTTTGGGGTTTTTTTTTTGGCTGTGTCTTGCAGCTTGTGGGATCTTAGTTCCCCGACCAGGGATTGAACCCAGGCCTCAGAAGTGACAGCACAGAGTCCTTACCACTGGGCCACCAGGGAATTCCCTAAATTACTTTTTACAGTCTTCACCCGACCTAGAAATCCAGATTCTCACCTCATTTACTGGTGGGCTGTCCCCTTTACTGACTGGAAGGACTCCAGTCAATTAGCAACTTCAGGACCCCTGGGAGTAGGGAGAGATGATCCTTCTGGCAACCTCCCTATGCTGAAAATACCGTAAACAGTAAGGCTCACTGATGGTCTGAGTAGTCACCTGCCATGTCCTATGGCCACACTCTCGAGTTCCTCTCCTATTTCCCTGGTGATGTGCCTCTTACATATATCACTATGCTATCAAAATAGTTTATTTCCCAATTTTCCTTTAAAATTCAACACATAACATTCTCTCCAATATTTCCCTTGGCCTGAGGATTTTCTCTCTCCTGTAATTTAGCACAATACACGGTTATCAGTGCTGAGTTTAAAGTGTATGTTTAGCCATGGAAGCCTTTTCTGTCTGATGAAAATCTCAGGCTTTGTATAACTACTATAATTCTGTAATTTAAAACATCTCAGCTTTGGTATTCAGGGACCTTGCTGTTTTTAAGGAAATCTCTCTGATGAACTCATTATATCCAAGTATTAAATTACCAGTGAAGACATGTTATCACGTTATGCGGCTACTTTAAAGACTTTTACTTTAAATGGACTGTCATTAAAGACAAAATAAGCAAATCAAATAACAAAAATGGAAGGTTTAGCACCATTTGTTGTACTGTGGAAACAAAGTATGCAATCTTTCTAACATATTTTCAATGGAATAATGGTTATGTTTGCATAATAAATTGAAATCACATTGGTTAACCAAAGCAATGGCTAAAGAAATTTAAAACTGTACAATTATTAGTTCTGTTCCGTAAGTCTCTTGAAAGTCTAGTCTGGCTTTTGAAATTCACTAGTATAAATTTCAAAGTTATTTGGTATTTCATTCTTCTGGATGTAAAAGGAGAAAAAAACAGATCTAGGAAGAAATGACTTTTTTTTTTTTTTTTT